TCCTTCTTCAGTTTCTTTCTTCAGTGTCTTATAATTTTCCAAGTACAGGTCTTTTACATCCTTGGTTAAATTTATTCCTAGGTATTGTTTCTGTTTTTATTTTTTGTTAATTCTAACCTGAGAACATTATCTCCATTGATTTTTAGAGAGAGTAGGAAAGAGAGAGGGAATGGGAGATATATATATATATACACATTGATGTGAGAGACACATCAACTGGTTGCCTCCCACACACACTCTAACCAGCCGGGGATCGAAGCTGAAACCCAAGTATATGCCCTTGACCCCAAGACCCTTTGGTGTGTGGGCCAATGCTCTAACAGGGCTCTAGGTATTTTTTTGAAGCAAATGTAAATTGGATTGTTTTCTTAGCTTCTAATTCTGATAGTTCATTATTGGTGTATAAAATGCAACTGATTTCTGGGTATTAATTTTGTATTCTGCTACTTTACTGAATTCATTTATCAGTTTCAGTAGGCTTTTTGTAAAATCTTTAAGGTTCTCTTTATACAGTGTCATGTCATTTGCAAATAAGAACAGTTTTGCTTTTTCTGTTCCAATTTGGATGCCTTTTATTTCTTCTTCTTGTCTGATTGCTATGGCTAGGACTTTCAGTACTATGTTGAATAAGTGTAGTGAAAGGCCCAGACAGGGTTGCTCAGTGGTTGAGCATCGACCCATGAACCAGGAGGTTAGGGTTCGATTTCCAGTCAGTGTAAATGCCCGGGTTGTGGACTCAATCCCCAGTACGGGGTGTGCAGGAGGCAGCCAATCAATGATTCTCTGTCATCATTGATGTTTCTCTCTCTCTTTTCCTCTCTCTGAAATCAATAAAAATATATTTTTTAAAAAAGAGTGGTGAAAGTACTCTTCTTAAGGGAAATGCTGATAGCTTTGCCCATTGAGTATGGTGTTAGCTGTGAGCTTGTCATACATGGCCTTATTATGTTGAGGTATGTTTCCTCTATTCTCACTTTACTGGGAGTTTTTATCACAAATGGGTGCTGGATTTTATGAAATGCTTTTTTTCATCTATTGAGATGATCATGTGGTTTTGATCCTTCATTTTGTTTATGGGGTGTATCAAGTTTATTGATTTGTGGATATTGTACCAAACTTGCATTCCTGAAATAAATCCCATGTGACATAATGTATGACCTTTTCAATGTATTGCTGGATCCAGTTTGCTAATATTTTGTTGAGGATTTTAGCATCTATGTTCATCAGGAATATTGGCCTGTAATTCTCTTTCTTTGTAATTTCTTTATCTGGTTTTGGAGTTAGGATAATGCTGGCCTCATAAAATGAGCTTGAGAGTCTTTCTTCATCTTAAATATTTTTAGTTTGAATGTTTGGTAAAATTTACCTGTGAAACCGTTGGGAAGGGAGATTTAATAAGGTTAGTATTTCCTCAACTTCATTTACTCCTGACCCATCTTCACAAATGCTGGTCACATTTGTGCAACATCTGGAGAAAAGTATATAGTCTATCTGGTTTCTGAGTTTGAATAGCAGGAGGGATCCATACTATTAAATCTCTCCAAATCTTGCCACCTGCCCCAAACAGCTGCATTTGGGCCTTCTTTTATTTGTTAAGAAAGGAGATGAACAATTAAGTTAAAGGGATGTTAAAGACACACCAGCATCCAACTGGGACTCTCTCCTGGATGGGAGGATGGAAGGTAACCAAAGCAATAACAGTGTCGAGATGAGTGATGTGGTGTGCTTTAGCGCCCTGTCCCTGCACTGCATCTAAAGACCCTACTCTGCCTGGCCGTTGCGG